GCAACAAAGCGAGAACTCTGTCTCGAAAATAAATACAATAAAATAAAATAAAAATAATAAAAAGCTTTTCTATTTCTGAATTAATTTGTCCAGACCCTTAACAATGCAGTTTAACGAATAATATCTGCACGCAAACTGCTGTAATTCACTCCCGCCCTTCTCCCACCAACGGTACTCTTGCACAATCACAATGCTGGTCAGCCATTCATATAACACTCTCCACTTTCACCAGATATTCACTACTCTATATTAACAAGAGACATGATTTACTATGTATCGTTCCTCTCGCTCGCTCCATTTAAAGTTCATCTGAATTATTCATCTGCTTGTTCTTCCGCGACTGCCATCATAGTCAAGACACAGACAGTTTCCAATAATAAATGTTACTCTTTGGTAAAAACAATTGCATTCATTCGGCCGGTTACGTAAATTATGGTACCATTATAGAATAGCATACTTAATCATTTGAAGGTTAAATTAACAAAATGTCTATAAAAAGATTGTTCAATACTGGAAAATGCTTTTTAATATAGAAGTTATATCATATATATAATATGTGGCGTCAGCCTAGCTCACCAGCAACCTCACAACTCCCTGGCTAAGCAATCCGCTCCGCCTCAGCCTCCCAGAGTGCTGGGCTTACAGCGCTGCACCACATGCCTCTGGAATATTTTTCTATATATTAGTAGTGTGGCCAATTAATTCTTCTTATTTATAGAAGGAGAGCGGAGGTCTTGCTGTTCCTCGGCTGGTTCTTGAACTCCTGGATCTGAGGCAATCCGCGCCGCCCGCTGGGGCTCCCAGACGTGCTAGCGGATTACCAGGCATAGAGCCCACCATGCCTCGGCCTCAGTTCTGTGCTTTTCTGTTTCTATGTTTTTGTGTTTTCAAAAATTTTCAATAAAATGTCTTGTGCACTGAAGTTTGCTGTTCCCCTTAAGATTCAATATGCCAAAACCTACCCCCTAGTATGATGGTGTTGAAAGGTGGGGCCTTTGGGAGGTAACTAGGTTAAGATGAGGTCATGAGGGTAGGGCCCCCATACTGGGATTAGAGTCCTTGTTGGAAGAGGAATAAAGCCCAGCACAAGCACTTCTCTCTCTCTCCATCCTCTGTGAGGACATGACAAGGCAGCCATCTGCTAGCCAGGAAAAGGGCTACTCACCAGGAACCTTACTGAGCTTGATCTTCGACTTCCCAGTCTCCAGAATTGGGAGAAGTAAACGTCTGTTGTTTAACCACCCAGTCTATGGTATTACATGACAGCAGCCCAAACAGACTAAGGCAACCTGTTCTTCAAAGAGTGAGGAGGTAGAAGTTAGGGGTAAATAGAAAGGGAAAAAAAAATCCAAGATAAATCAAAACAAACAACAAATAAAAATGTGTCTTGGCTGGGTGCCGTGGCTCATGCCTGTAATCCTAGCACTTTGGGAGGCCAAGGCAGGAGGATCTCTTGAGGACAGGAGTTCAAGACCAGTCTGAGCAAGAGTGAGACCCCATCTCTACAAAAAATAGAAAAATTAGCTGGGCATGGTGGTGTGCACCTGTAGTCCCAGCTACTCAGGGGGCTGAGGCAGGAGGATCGCTTGAGCCCAGGAGTTTGAGGTTGCCATGAGCTAGGCTGATGCCATGGTACTCTAGCCCGGGCAACAGAGCAAGACTCAAAATAAATAAATAAATAAATAAATGATATATATATAAATATATATAATATAATATTACAAGGTAGTTTATGGAAGGCAAACCCAACCCCCATTTTCTCTGATGCTCATTCTGCCCCTGACTCATGCCACCAGTGACCGTGACCCTATTCCTGATTTTCACCATGCCTCTGATCGCCTCTTTACTATGGATTGTTCCTGATTTCTAGGGGCGAGAGCTGGCTTTGGGTGAGGCTCAGAGTGGAAGTGAAGATGTCTGCTTTGCACATACCACTTGATAGTGAAAAAAGTTATTGATTTAATGATTTAGTTTTTAGAGTAAATGCCCTCATATGAATAGTGTTGTCCCAATGCATCCATGATTGAATGGCTGCTTCAAAATCTGCTAAAGGTACTCGAAGTGCTTTCTAGACAAAGTGAGAGATCTTAGAGAGGGCTTCCAAGTGAAAAAAACAGAGTTCCCAGGAGGAAACAAAAAGGCAAGCCATCTGGGAATGAAACGCCCTACAGTCCTTGTGAGGATACGGGCAGTCTGTCGGCCTGGAATGCTGCCCTTTGGGGGACTGCTTGCTCCTCTGCCATCCCACGTGGTTCTGGTGGTCACAGCACCACACCTGCCCTGGTGTAAGAGGTGGGCATCTCAGTACTTTCTCCTGTCCACATTGGGTGCATTTCAAGAGGTGGTACGTGATCCAAACAGATCAGGCCTGTCTTAGCCTGTTTCCTGTTGCTATAACTGAATATCTGAGACTGGGTAATTTATAAAGAAAATAAATTTATTGATTACAGTTCTGGAGGCTGGGAAGTCCAAGGTTTAGGGGCCATATCCGGCGAGGGTCTTCTTGCTGGTGGGGACTCTCTGTGGAGTCCCAAGGTGGCGTGCACAGGGCATCGCTTGGTGAGCGGGCTCACTAGAGACGGCCAAACTGCTTTCATAATAGACCTACTCTCGTGATAACTGTCTCACTCCCTCAAAAAACCATTACTCCATTAACCTATTCATCCCTGAGTAGATGAACCCATTCATGAGAACAGAGCCCTCATGACCCGGTCACCATCCAAGGGTCCCTCCTCTCGACAATGCTGCGCTGGGAACCAAATTTCCAACGCATGAAGTTTGGGGGACACATTCAAACCACAGCATGGGCCTCCCGACATGGGGTCTAATAACTCCATCCCTGGGAGAGAACAGCTCTGAGACCTTCCTCTGGGACTGTGGACTGCAGGACGATGGGAGTCCCGGACTGCTGGCAGCCACAGTGCCACCGTGTTTTTTTCTATGTATTTTTAATTGGCCAATTAATTTCTTTCTATTTTTAGTGGAGACGGTCTTACTCTTGCTCAGGTTGGTTTCAAACTCCTGACCTTGAGTGATCCTCCTGCCTCGGCCTCCCAGAGTGCTAGGATTACAGGCGTGAGCCACCACGCCCAGCCGGTGCCACCATGTTGACAGTCAGCAACCCCACTTCAAACTTCCTCAGCTAGTAAATTCCCTTGTGGCTTAAACTGGATCAAGTCTGTTTCCTGTCAATAGATGCCTGATGCATTGTTCACTCTTTATTTTCACATTTTTGGGTCCCCACGACTGCTTAAAGGGGAACCTACTTATTGACAGGCCGTGCCCACTTACCCCAAGCTCACAGTCTGAGCTTCCGCTCAGGAAAGAGGCCCTCTGTCTTAGAGAAGAGCTCACACACTTCAGGGGAAATGGCACCAGCCAGCGTTCTCTACTAAGACCAGATCTTTTACTCCTAAAAGTCTTTCGATCAAAAGGAGATGCATATCTAGGCACACACACTGGTGAAGTGTCTGACCTTTAAGGATAAAGGTCAGCCTTAAAAGTTTTCAAAAATAACAGACCAAAACTTAACTGGCAAAAGAAGACAGACTGAGGGCCAGCAAACATATAAAAAAATGCTCAACATCTCTAATCATCAGGGAAATGCAAATCAGAGCTACAATGAGATATCACCTAACTCCAGTGAGAATGGCCCTTATCAAAAAGTCCCAAAACAACAAATGCTGCCATGAATGTGGAGAGTTTGGAACACTGTTATGACGTTGGTGGGTCTGCAAATTAGTACAACCCCTGTGGAAAGTAATTTGGAGAAACCCCAAAGAGCTAAAAATAGAAATACCATTTGATCCAGCAATCCCACTAGTAGGCATCTATCCAAAGGAAAAAACAGACATTGTATAATAAAGACATCTGCACTCAAATGTTTATAGCAGCACAATTCACAGTTGCAAAGATGTAGAAATAACCCAAGTGCCCATCAATCCATGAGTGGATTAATAAAATGTGGTATATGTACATCGTGGAGTTCTACTCAACTATAAAAACAATGGTGATCTAGCATCTCTTATATTATCCTGGATAGAGATTGACCACCCCCTTCATGTACTCACCATCAGATTGGTCCTAACTGACCAACACTAAGGAGTTCACATGGTGGTAATACTGGGTGCCGGTTGGGGATGGGGTGGGGGTGGGTAAACCACAACTAATGGAAGCAGAATGCACTGTATGGAGGAGGGACACGCTTGTAGCCCTGGCTTGGGTGGGATAAACAGCATTACATGTAACCAAAATGTTTGTATTCCCATAAAATCCTGAATAAAAACAAAAAAAAAAAAAAAGAGACTTAACTGGCATCAGATTTCTTACTGACCGAATTGCATACTAGAAGACACAGGAGTGAAGTCTTCAATGTTCTGAGGAAAAAAATGAATTTGTACACAAAATTCCTTATTTTTCTTGAGACAGAGTCTCACTCTGTTGCCCAGGCTAGAGTGCCGTGGCATCAGCCTAGCTCACAGCAACCTCAAACTCTTGGCTCAAGCGATCCTCCTTCCTCAGCCTCCTGAGTAGCTGGGACTACAGGCATGCGCCAATGTGCCCGCTAATTTTTTCTATATATTTTTAGTTGGCCAATTAGTTTCTTTCTATTTTTAGTAGAGACGGGGCATCGCTCTTGCTCAGGCTGGTTTCGAACTCCTGACTTTGAGCGATCCTTCCGCCTCAGCCTCCCAGAGTGCTAGGATTGCAGGCCTGAGCCACCGCACCCGGCCTCCTTTTTTTTTTTTTTTTTTTTTTTTTAAAGACAAGGTCTTTCTCTGTCCTCCAGGGTAGAGTGCAGTGGCACGATCACAGCTCATTGCTGCCTTGAACACTTGGGTTCAAGGGATCCTCCTGCCTCACCCTCCCAAGTAGCTGGGACTACAGGTTCAAACCACCACTCCCGGGTAATTTTTTCTTATTTATTTTTTTTAGAGATGGGGGTCTCACTATGTTGCCCAGGCTGGTGTTGAACTCCTGGCCTCAAACGATCCTCCTGCCTCAGTCTCTCCAGTTGCTGAGATTACAGGCGTGAGCCGCCACACCCGGCTGTACCTAGCATTCCATTCAGCCATATTAACATGTCCAAGCCATGTTGGCTGAATGGAACTGGCTGGGGAGACATGTCTTTTAAGCAATCCTTTATGTTAGGGGGAAACCTTAACACAGTGAAGACCTGATGGGAAATACACACAAAGAGAAGTAAGGAATAGATCCTTACACACGTGAGGGATAGATCCAGGTGCTTACAGCAGACCAGACGGAGACGATGCCGGAGGGGCTCCTGGGCTTGCAGGGCAGGTTTCTTAGAGGACAGTCAGCAGCAGCACTGGAACAGAGGGAGGAACAGACTAGGTGAAGAGAAGAGGTGAGAGGGTATTTAAGAGATGACAGCCTTTTCCAAAGCTCAAAAGCAGTGGGAATCCTTAAGCACTGAGGGGGAGAAGATGGGTGTGCTTGGCAGAAAAGGATACAAACTAGAGAATTATCGGGAAAATGGGATGCTGAAGTACAGTGACGAAATTGGCCCATGCCTCTCTGTCTTCACTCATACAATCAGGACACTGGTAGGACCCACCTCATAAAGTTGTTAGAGAAGTTGTATGAGATAACATCTCTAAGGCACTTAGCTTAATGCCTGGGACAAGTAAATTCTGTATGTGTTGGCTCTTATTAAATCAGTTGTTGCAGATCACACAGCTAGTAAGTGGGTGTCTAGGATTTGACTGGCTTTTCTGATCCCAAAGCCCAGGCTCTTTCCTACTGTGCCCCAGGGAACAATGACGACATCTACTGAGCACAGTATTCCATCCTCTACAGCGTTTATCTCATTTAGTCCTTACTCATCCCTGATCCGGGCATGGCCACTTTACACAGAAGAAATGGAGCGTCGTTTAACCCAGTGCCCAGGTTCGCCTTCCTGGCTCCAGCGCCCTCTCCCCAGCTCCACGCTGGGAGCCAGGAGCTTTGGGTCCAGTCCCATATTTGCCACTGATCAACCTGCATCACCGAGCCTCAGTTTCCCCATTTAAAAATAACAGGGCCTGGGTCAGAGAATTATCTCGATGGTCCCTTCAAGCTAGACTATTCTAGGAGAGTAGATTCAATGAAATTAGACAGTGCTCCGAGTAGGAGACGGCTGCTAAGTCAGACAGGATCCCCGTCCCCATCGGACCGCAATCATCCGCAGAGATCCAGAGGTGTCCAGAGATGAGTCCAGGTCTCCAAAGCATTAGTCATCGTCTGCGTCCTCTCCCCAGGGGAGCAGCAGGGACACTGCTCCAATTATACTGGATTGACGAGGGACCTCTAGGGTGATGAAAGGGTGGGAGAGATGGTAGGGGACACAACGTAAGATCTGAATCATTCAGCCTGGCGAAGAGAAGGCAGGAAGGGCCTATCTTCAGATCCCCAGTGAGCTTGGGGCTGGGTGGCAGGGTGAGGACAAGAGGTCGAGGCTCTGCGTGCTGGGCCTGGCGCTGGCACTGAAAGCAGCGTGACCTTTGTTTGCCAAGTTACTTCACATCTCCCATCTTTCGTTTCCATATCTAAAAAACTAGGGAAATTAGCAAAACAAAACCTCACCAATATATACAAAGAAATAGATAAGATTATAGCTGAAAACTAGAAAGGGGCCAGGCTGGTGGTTCACACTTGTAATCCCAACACTTTGGGAAGCTGAGGCGGGAGGATCACTCGAGGCCAGGAGTTCAAGACCAGCCAGGGCACTAGTGAGACCCTGTCTCTTAAAAAAAAAATTAGCCGAGTGTGGTGGCACACACTTGTAGTTCTGGCTATTTGGGAGGATCACTTGAGCCCAGGAGTTTGAGGTTGCTGTGAGCTGTAATGACACCACTGCACTATAGCCCAGGCTATAGAACAAGATCCTGTCTCAAACAAACAAACAAACAAACAAAAAACAAAAACCCAAACAACTAGAAAGGGCTTGGGTATCCTGGCAATGGGAAGAACTGCAAGCAGACCGAAGAGGAGGAGTTGATGCAGCAGATTATTAAAATGCTACCCGGAGTACTGCACATCTAACATTTATTGAGCACTGACTGCATGCCAGGCACTCGGCAGAGAGAAGTTCTCCCATGCATTATCTCACTACATACCTTTGCGAATCTTCTTAGGTATCACCATTTTTTTCAAATGCATTAACTGGGCCATGAGAAATTACTTCACCCAACTAGCTACCAAGTGATAACATCAGGACTGGAAGCCACTCCCCATCCTTCGCTCACACTCCACTGTCACAGGCTGTGGGACATGAGAAACAGAGAAGAGTGTATATGTGATAGTGATAAATGGGAAAAAGAAAGCTCGAGTGATTAGGGTAATATAAGGATGTTGGCATTAACGTTAGTTTCGGAAGTTTGTAAATAACTAGGTGCTGGGAACTTTGGGGGCTGCTACGTTTAGCTATTTATGCTTAGTCTTTGGCAGCAGAGATGATGAAACGTACCATACCTGAGTGAGGGGGTGCGCGCAGATGATAGGGCCTTCCTAGCCCTGATACTGAATTTTCTAGATGGGCAGGCAGGGAAGGCACAGCTGCACCTCATCAGCAAGATTGGCAGTCTGACCACAGGACTCCCTGCTTCAAGCTTTCCGTTGCTCCGTGAGGCCCACAGCACAGGTTCGCAACCTTGGCTGCCATTGGAATCACCTTTGACAACGGCTGAGGTGCAGTCCCACTCCCAGAGGTTCCTATTTAATTGACATGGGTGCAGCTTTGGCATTGGGAAGTTTAAAGTTTCCTCAGGTGAATCTCATGTGAAGCAACCTTTGAAAGCCACAGGCCTAAGTGACAAAGGCCTGACTTCACTCGACACAGACGGCTCTCTGCACCCCTTATTCTCCAAACCAGTTACAACGTCCCGGACAGGCCACGCCTGCTTTTACATGCCTTTACATGTTATTTCCTCTGCCTGAGATGCTTCTTCCTTGTGCATCTGGAAAACTCCATCTTCAGTTCTGCGACAGCAGCCTCCACGATGGCCCCCGTGAGCCCTCCTCCTAGTGTCCTTGTGCCTGCATCGTCCCCACCCCCCAGCACTGGGTAGGGTTGACTCTACTCACGTTATAGGGTGGATATGATGATGCAGCACGACTTCCAAGGGTGGGTTGTAAAGGACACGGTGGCTTCCCTGTTGCTCTCTCTCAGATCACTCGCTTTGGGAGAAGCCAGCGTGAACGTCAGCCCTGTGGAGAGCTCGGCGTGATGCAGAATTGAGATGTGGAATTGAGGCTTTTGCCAGCAGCCACGTGAGCGAGCCATCTCACGGTGAGCCTTCGAGCCGGAGCCAAGCCTTCCGATGATGGCAACACCAGCTGACGTCTTGACTGCAGCCTCGTGACAGACCTTCAGCCAGAACCACCCAGCTATGCCACTCCAGCATTCCTGAGCCATAGAGAGTGTGGGATAATTTTTGGGGTGCTAAGCTGTTCAATTTTGGAATAATTGATTATGCAGCTATAGATAACTAGGAAGAATACCAAGCTCAGGTGTATGGTACTCCGGGACGCCTTCTTAGCCCCTCTCCCCTGCCAAAGTTGATCACCCTGTGCCATTTCTGGGCCTTATACGCCCCCTATTGCAGCACTCATCACAAGGGCCCTGACTTTGACTTGCCTTTCTTGCCCTCCAGATTCAGTTCCATGAGGACAGGCCAGCCACAGCGCAGGCATCAGTAAGCCTTGTAGAATAAAGGAACACAGACGAGAACTGCCTTCAGAGTCAATTTTCACAGGCCTTCTAGCCCAGGCTTCTTCCTTGTACAAAACCCCCAGGCACGGTTGCTGGAAATCATGGATATCATGGTGCGTGGGTGGGTCCTGAGGGTTTTCTTTTTTTTTTTTTTATTTCTTTATCTTTTTTTCTATTTTCAGTTGGCCAATTATTTTTTTTATTATTATTTTTAGTAGAGACGGGGTCTTGCTCTTGCTCAGGCTGGTCTAGAACTCCTGAGCTCAAACGATCCACCCGCCTCAGCCTCCCAGAGAGCTAGGATTACAGGCATGAGCCACTGCGCCTGGCCCTGAGAGTTTTCTTAATAATCCAATAAAATCCTGGCACCCATGGATGTCTTTAAAGCACTAGACTCTAAGTCAGAAGATCTGGATTTTAATTCAAGTCTGCCAACGACCGGCTGAACTTCTCTGAGCTCTGGTTTCCGCATGGACCAAATACCTTAAGGGCTCTTCTAATTCTAAAATTTAATGATTCTATATTTTCAGCTAGCAGTTACTCTTGTGCCATAAAAGAGAAGAAAATAGCGGATAGGCTTAAGCCTTAAAGCATAGCAACGATTCTCAAACTTGGCTGCGTATCAGGAATACTCGTGGAGCTTAGCGCGTGCGCGCACACACACACACACACACACACCTGGGCCCCGCCCTAGACCTTCTGAATCAGCATCTCCGGATGTCTGGAGACGCGGCCAGGGTATCTGTATTCTTAAATAGTCCCTAAGAGATTTGGATATATGTCTAGAGCTGTGAATCACTAATACAATATGTAGAGTAGAGATTTTAAAAATATTTTCTGCCGGCTGGTTGGCTCTGTGGTTTATAGGGTACAGTACTAATGGGTTTGTTCCCTGCATTACTCACTTTATATGAGGGGTATGAATGGATAAAGCCCATCTTGACTGCTAGACAGGCAAACCAAGGTATACACGTTACTGCCAGGACTCAGCCCGGCTGGGTCTTTGACCCAACTGCTTAGTACATTCAGCTGGAGACCAAGCTGTGCATTATTTTAGCCTATATAGGGTCAAGAACCTTTTTTTATGGACTGGGGAAGATAGTAATGAACAAGAATTAAGAGCACTGACTTTGGAGCCCAACAGTTCAGGTTCAAATCCCAGTTCCAGTACTTCCCTGCTGAGTGGCTTGGCTGGGTTAGCAAATCTTTCTGAACCTCGCCTTCCTGATCTGCGGAAAGAGAATAACTTACCTTAGAGGACTGTCATTAGGATTAAATGATACAATGTATGTAAGACATTTAGCACAGTATCTGGCCAGAGTTAAGTGCTCGTTAATTAGTAGCACATTACAGCAAAAACAAAATATGGCATTTTTTATTATTAACAGAAACACACTTGTCCAGTGCTTTGTAGATAACAAAGTGCTCTAACATGTTGCATTGAACTCACTCCCCAACCCCACCCCAAAAACCCTGAGGTGGGCAAGGCAGACGCTCTGACCCCATTTTACAGAAAAAGAAACAGAGGCTCAAAAGGATTTGCTGGCTCCAGATCAAAAAGAAAATGTCAGTGTCTGGATGCAAACTCCGGTGTGATTTCGTGAAGATGAATAATTATATATACACACTTGGCAGGCTGAGCATCTCAGGGCCATCTGGCTTAACAGGCTGAAGAGGACCATATTTCTGAGCAGCTTCTTTTTTTAGATGAAAGCAAGATGGAAAAAATAAGCTAGCAAACTGCTCTCCCTGGTTTTCAACGTTGGTGTGATCTGAGCTCAGCTCTGCCCTCCTTCTAACTCTCACTGCTACTTGTCTGTGTGGCTCAGAAGTTCACTCCAGCTGCTGTGGCTGCATTGTCACTCTGCTCTGGCCCCACAGCTGGGATCTGGGGAAACCAAAAGAAGAGGAAGCAGAGGCAGCTGGAGACATGGGAGGGCTGGGCGAACCCCAGCTGTTCTGGGGCTGGCTGGGGGGCGGGAGGTGGTGAGGGGTGGGGGAAGGCATCCCTGCCCCCCATGTCAGTCAACAGGAGGATGCTCTTTCCCGCCCAACAGATGGGCCCGCTCCCAGAATAACGTGATACAGGGCAATGCTAAACACGGCACAGACTGGATTTCTCTTGGGGAGCAGGAGGCCAAGAGATCAAATGTTAGTTGAATTTGATTCAATCAAGAAGACTTTATGGAAGAGGTAGGCCTGAGAGCTGGGCCTAAAGCAATTCCTGGGATGTGGCTACACAGAGCCTAGGTGGGGAGGCCTACAGGCGAGAGCAGCCCTATGAGCAAGGGTGCAACTGTCTCACTGGGGACAGGGTGGATACACAGGGGACTGTGGAAAAAGAAGAGTGCATGGTAGGAAGCAGAGGACAGGAGGGGAAGGACGAAGCCGCACAGAATGAGGAGTGAGGTGAGATCCTATGGGAAAGGGGAATCCTGGAGATTCTTGACAACTCAATAACAGAGGCACGAAATGCCAGAACCAAAGACGCCTTGAAGCTGAGTCAAAAGAGGAACATCCCCCACCCCACCTCTGCACCCCTCCCCAACACTTGGGGTCACAGAGCAAGAGAGGGTGACCGTCAAGAACCCAGGGCTTGCTCTGCATAATCAGTGCTAAAAATTAATTAATTAGGCTGGGCGAGGGGGCTCACACCTGTAATCCTAGCACTCTGGGCGGCAGAGGTGGGTGGATTGCTCAAGGTCAGGAGTTCGAAACCAGCCTGAGCAAGAACGAGACCCCGTCTCTACTATAAATAGAAAGAAATTAATTGGCCAACTAATATATATATAAATTAGCCGGGCATGGTGGCACATGCCTGTGGTCCCAGCTATTCAGGAGGCTGAGGCAGCAGGATTGCTTGAACCCAGGAGTTTGAGGTTGCTGTGAACTAGGCTGACCTCACGGCACTCACTCTAGCCTGGGCAACAAAGCAAGACTCTGTCTCAAAATAATAATAATAATAATTAATTAATTAATTAATTTAAAGTAAATGAAAAAAAACTCAGGGCTTCAGACAACAGTCTGGTTTTCCTTCCCTTAGAACCCCTTGCTGGGCTGGTATTTGAGGCAGATCCGGCAGCAGCATGCCGGAGGGAAGGAGAGATCACAGTCCGGGTGAGCTGACTGAGACTCAAGCCAGAGGGAAAGGACGGGCTGGGTGTGAGAACCACAGAGAGTGAAGGACAGGAGGGCTTGGCAGGAAATCTGATAGGCAGTGAGGAAAGAGCTGTGCAGAGGCAATTCACCGAGATTCACAGGCCTGGGGTTTCCCCTGAGGTCACTGGCACTTTAGCCCCCCTGCCTCAGCCAGACCCAGCCTCTCCTGCAACCCTCATCCCTGCCCTGCCCTGTGGCCAGCCTTTACCCAGAGCTACTCGCTTCTCCCACTGGATATTTTGGGACCTTGAGTTTGCACCTGGTGCATAGATGTGTTTGGATGATCAGGTGCGAAATCAAAACCCCAACCAGAATCTAAGAGTGTGGACTCTTCCTGGTAGTAAAGAGAGCCTGCAAGGCTAGAACTAGGGTGAGAATTTTGATTTTTGATGTGGGGAGCAGGGAAATCAGAGCAAAGAGAATGCGAAACTGTCTCTCACCTAGTTCCACCCTGACACGGAGACACAATGGTGGTAGTTGGGTAGCAGTTAGGAGGAGGGTAACTGAAACATTAGAAGATGGAATAAGAACTTAGATCAAGACCACTGGGCCATGTAATGCAAGGGTAAATTACACCTAACCCACAGGTCTATAAAAAGGACCAAACAAGACTGATAATAGCTAATGTTTATTAAGCCCTTAATATAGACACTGTGCTAAGCGTTATTAGAATCCTATTAGAATTTCCATTTACAAATAAGAAAACTGAAGGTCATAGAAGTTAATAAACTAGCATAAATCACAAGGCTGAGCTGGAATTGTCAGATTTCAAAGACTACGTTCTTAGTCCCTGAGCTCCGTTCTCCGTTTATCACATTGATCAAGTACCTAGAAATTCAGTTCTCTCCCCCAACCCATTTCTCCATAGTGCTGAAGAGATCACTGAAACCCAGTGCAGGCCATATAGCAGCTGCTGGAGATTTTGATGTTTTTGAGTCGATCTATCATGAAATTACATCCCCCATACCCTGACAGTTGGAAGAAATGGGGGGAAAGAGCAAAACCAAGTATGCACATTAGGAACGACAGCACAGTTTTTTCTTTGTTTTTTTTTTTTTTTTTTTTTTTTTGAGATGGAGTCTCACTCTGTTGCCCAGACTAGAGTCAGCCTAGCTCACAACCTCCTCAAACTCCTGGACTCAAGCAATCCTCCTGCCTCAGCCTCCTGAGTAGCTGGGACTACAGACATATGCCACCATGCCTGGCTAATTTTTTCTATATATTTTTAGCTATCTAAGTAATTTATTTCTATTTTTAGAAGAGACAGGGTCTTGCTCTTGCTCAGGCTGGTCTTGAACTTCTGAGCTCAAACAATCTGCCCGCTTTGGCCTCCCAGAGTGCTTGGATTACAGGCGTGAGCCACCATACCTGGCTGACAGCACAGGTTTTGATGCCAAAATTCCAGCTTTGGCAAATTCTTGCTGAGAGAACCTGATGAAATCACTTCTCCAAGCCTGTTTCCTCATGTCAACAAGACTCATGCCACGTGACCTCTGGGGTTACTGTGAGAAGCACAGAGCTCAGTCCCTCACACACAGTAAGGGCCAAAAAACATTGGCTATTACAACTATTACCCCCATAATTGTCACTGTGCCATGCAGTTATGGCCAGGGTCACCTGGCCTCTGCACCTGGCTATGGTGGGACAGAAAGGGGGGTTCCTAATGAGGAGGAGCACCAAGTATAGAGAATGGCCTGTGTGGTTCCTCTGTCACTTTGTGTTACTTCTCCGGAAGAAAACAGGGGAAAATGAAGGTCCCCACAAAGTCAAGATGTGGTGTTGGAGTCCATCATTTGACATTTCAAGAGCCTGGTAGTCTTTCTGAGGATGGCCAAGAGGGGCAGCTGTGTCAGGATCCACAGTGGAAAGGGGCTGGGGGACTGTGTTGGGGACACAACAAGAACCCAACTAGCCTTAGCCTGACAAGTCCAGGCCGTAGGAGGGATATTACTCACCTTCCTTCCTGACAGATCATCCAATGCACAGAAACTTCACCATATACCACTAGGAGGCCTCTGGGATGGAGAATGAGAAGATGCAAAAGAAACCCAAGTCCTAAGATATTCTCTTTTTGGAAGATACAGCAGAATGTAGTTTATCAGCACATGTCAGTTTGCATCAGAATTCACTTGCTTATCTAAAAGGCAATTTTATCTGGTGCCCTTCAATTCCCTGGAAACTGACCAAAAACCAGAATGAAGGACCAAAGGTCTTGGGACACCCCTCCTGAGCAGTCAAAGGAAAGATTACGAAATCCATGCACTAAAGCCAATGTGCTTTAACTGTAGGACAGTCCCTAAAGCCCTTTCTCTCAGTGACTATCTAGTTTTCCTTTAGACACAGTTTTATATAATGTGGCTGATTTCTCAGTGCATTGCACATCAGAAGTCACTAACTTGTTTTTTTTTTTTTTTTTTTTTTTTGAGACAGAGTCTCACTTTGTTGCCCAGGCTAGAGTGAGTGCCGTGGCATCAGCTTAGCTCACAGCAACCTCTAACTCCTGGGCTCAAGCAATCCTCCTGCCTCAGCCTCCCGAGTAGCTGGGACTACAGGCACGCGCCACCATGCCCGGCTAATTATATATATATATATATTAGTTGGCCAATTAATTTCTTTCTATTTTTATAGTAGAGACAGGGTCTCGCTCAGGCTGGTTTTGAACTCCTGACCTTGAGCAATCCGCCTGCCTCGGCCTCCCAGAGTGCTAGGATTACAAGCGTGAGCCACCACGCCTGGCCTAGAAGTCACCAACTTGAAGTGACCAGATAGGACACTTAGAGGCTGGTATGTTAAAGGCAGTGAAGAGTAAGGGCTGGCAGCCTGGCCACAAAGAAGACAGCACAAACTCTGAATGGTAATCAAAAGAACTCAAAGGATAGTGGCTGGGGCCACACAATGTAGGTGCAAATAGCTGGCCACAGCTTCACAGACCAGAGGGCACCACTTCTCTGCCATGAGACCTGAGCACAAATATTTTGGCTCTTCTGGGATGACATGCGGGATGTTAGGAATAGCCAGATGACATACTTTGGCTTATGAAATGTGAACAGAAATAATGAGTGCCACTTCTGGGCAGAAGCTTTCAAAGCCAGTAGGAGCTTCCCCATGCTTTCTTCTGGCTCCACCATGGTAACCAGAAATGCTTCGAGACAGTGGTGACTCCACCAGCCTGGGTCCCAGAGTGAGGATAAACATGACCAGAGCAGAGCCTACAACAGACCCGCAGAGGACAAGTAGCATAGGCAAGAAATACATTTTTGTTGCTTTTTGGGGTTATTACCGCCATCTAATCTAGTCTAACCTGGCTGGAACATCCTGAAATGTTAAATGAAGTCAGTTCACTTTGATTTAAAAGTATGTGTTGGGGCTGGGCGAGGTGGCTCTCGCCTGTAATCCTAGCACTCTGGGAGGCTGAGGCGGGGGAATAGCTCCAGGTCAGGAGTTCGAAAACAGCCTGAGCAAGAACGAGACCCCGTCTCTACTATAAATAAAGAAATTAATTGGCCAACTAATATATATACAAAAAAATTAGCTGGGCATGGTGGCACATCCCTGTAGTCCCTGCTACTCGGGAGGCTGAGGCAGTAGGATCGCTTGAGCCCAGGAGTTTGAGGTTGCTATGAGCTAGGCTGACGCCACAGCACTCACTCTAGCCTGGGCAACAAAGTGAGACTCTGTCTCAAAAAAAAAAAAAAAAGTATATGTTAACTTTTTGGAAGATTAACATCCAAAATAGCCAATGTTATACTTTGTGGCTTGAAGGATAATTTTCAATTACATGGAAAGTTCACCTGCTCCAATGTTGCTGGGTGAATGAGTCATTACCAGCACATGAACTGAACAGAGGAAAGGGATCTAGTTTCTGAACCACCGTCTTCTTTAAGGAAGCTCCAGGCCTCCTTATTCACTGCTTTATAAAATATACCTACATTGGCCAGGCACAGTGGGTCACATCTGTAATCCCAGCACATTGGGATGTTGAGGCAGGAAGATCTCTTGAGGCCAGGAGTTCAAGACCAGCCTGGGCAACATAGTGAGGCCCTATCTCTACAAAAAATAAGAAAAAGTAGCCAGGTGTGGTGGTGTGCCCCTGTAGTCCCAGCTTCTTGGGAGGCTGAGGCCAAAGGATTGCTTGAGCCTGGAAGTTCGAGGCTGCGGTGAGCTATGATCATCCAACTGTACTCCAACCTGGGTGACAGAGCAAGACTTTATCTCAAAAATAAATAATACCTGCATTATTTATGGGGCTAAGGCAGAAGCTGGGTCTCACATGCCACTATTGCCAGAACTGGCTCCTCATCATTTTTAAAACCAGCACGACGGTGGCCCTAGGCATTCAGGGTTAGCCTAGGGCTGGATCTGTGAGTGCTGGGGGCTCTGGTCCCTATGTGGGGGTTGGAAGGCCCCATTATATATCTGTATGTGCTCTCACAGAAGGAAATCTGTGATATGTTCTTGAGTAAAAGAGCAAGCCAACAACTTCAGAACATACAGTCTTTTTAAGCATACATGGCACATTTACAACACTGACCTCACACTGGGCCAACAAGCAAGTTTCAACAAATCTTGAAGGATGGAAACCATATGGGTCATTTTCTCTGACCACAAAGCAATTAAGCTAGAAAATAATAACTATAAGATAACTACAAAAACCTCATGTTTGGAAAGTAGGAAACAGACTTTTAAAAAACCCATGGGTTACACATCCTCTCATTTAATCCTCGTAACTATTCATAGGCAGACCCTCATTTTAGAAACGCAGGAACTGAGATTATAAAGAGAATACAATTTGCTCAAATTTACCCAGTTAGCAGTAGTGGAGCCAGGACTCAAAACCAGGCTACATAACTCTAGAGCCCAGGGCTTTAATGGTCTCTTTCTTATGCTCCATCTCATACAATTCATAGATCCTCCCATGGTTTCGAACTCCTGACCTTGAGCAATCCGCCCGCCTCGGCCTCCCAGAGTGCTAGGATTACAGGCTTGAGCCACCGCGCCCGGCCTTAGATCCTCCCATGGTACACAGCAGGGATCCTCAAACTTTTTAAACAGGGGGCCAGTTCACTGTCCCTCAGACCGTTGGAGAGTGCGGCGCACATTCCACACATGCGCACTGTGGGCCCGGGATGAGTCGGCTGCTAAGCAGGACAGGCAGCGGCGGCAAAAACACCCAGCAGGCTGGATAAATGTCCTCGGCGGGCTGCATGTGGCCCTCGGGCTATAGTTTGAGGACCCCTGGTCCACAGCCTCTGTTGGATCTGGTTTTTACCTCTTAGAAAGACCAGCTGTTTAGAGGTGGAGATCAGTCCCAGCCTGCTTTGGTGGCCCTGATCTTGAACCTGTTGTGTACAGACGCATTTTTCTTTTGCTCTCGCCTTCTCTGGGGTCCCCTACTTGGACTGAGGTGAGAAGTCTCGAGTAGTGAGGAGGGGAGTTTCAGAATAATGTTTCCAAACAGCTTTGAACTAGATCCCTATGAAGACATCCCTTCGTTTCCAACTTTTTGTCCACATGGGCCCAAGTAGTACGTGAACATTGAAAGACAGAAGGAAAAGTCACTTCCAGATGGCTCCCCATCTTGTTCTAATGCAGATTTAATAGACAGAATATTCCAACGTAACATTAGGCAAACGTGAGTATTAATATCATTCATATCATAAATGCAACAGAATGGAAATCCAGTCTGTATCCTGACTTAAATTTGGGATGAGGGCCTCAGAGTCAGAAAACAACTAAAACACCCTGATTCTGAGCAAGTTGGAGGTTCCTAGTATCTGAAGTAAGAGGCAAGACCAAGGTGTTCCTAGACCTCTCTAGGAGTGGCCTCCTAGGTTTTAACTGACCAAACTATCCCCCTCTTGTGGCAAGGGCCTGTACACATGGCTGTTTGACACTGTTCTTCTATGTTCCCCAACATAACCTACTTGTGTTGTTTCCTGTCCAGATACATTTCTAGCAAAGCCCCAAAGATATCCAGAGATTCTGAGGTACCCCTTTGTATCCCAGCTTCTCTGTGCTGCGAACCATGCTGTCTGCCCTCCATGGGCTCACAAGTATGATTTAGTACTCACTAAGTGGCACTATGTTTCATGTGATTGGAAGACTTGAAAATAAATAGAAAATCTGATAATGGTCCACATCCTGGAGAGCTGCCCAGAGCTCACACTTCACCAAGAGGCCCTAGGGAGGCAGAAGATGGAGTGGTAGGAAAAGACGGTGCCCGCTGGGCTAGAGTCCCTGAAGGTTGGGATTTTCACTCCGTCCTCTGGCTCCATCTCTTCCACTAAAGAGGCAACACTGGCCTGAAGTGAGGGCGTCAGCTCGTTCAACATGCAGGCTTCACAGGGCTCAGCTCTGGCCTGGGTCTCCCCAGTCCCACCTCACTGCTAGTTCCCCATACCCTGGGGGCTCAAGCCCCAGAAAGTCAGTTCACCAATCAGTAAGTGATCCCAATTCCAATGTGAGTTTAAGATCAACAAGTCTAAGATCAAAGTACCCAGTTATCTAATCAGCAGTGTGATTATATCCTCTTAATCTGTGAAAAAGTGTCATGTTGACCACTTCCTGATAGCAGGTTTGAGGTGCCCCTGGGAAGCCCCCAGATAGAAACTCAGCTCAAGTGATCTTTGGCAAATGGCCAGCTGTGCCTACAGGCTGGACAGATGGTGTGGGGCCCCTGGGGTGAGCGATGGTCCAATGCCTTCAATGAGATTGTTCCATTGATCATAGTTCTCTTGTAGGTCTGAATGGGAAGAGAATAGAAAAATTAGACACATCATTGTAAGGTTAGGTCAAAGAATAGCTATCAGGGATTTAGTGGGTCACCTAGAGAGAAGAGCACCTGGAATACCAAAAGGACTAGTTACCAAAAGGTGGTTTTGATGGTGGTGGCAGTAATGACAACTATTATTTATCGAGTGCATTTATACATGTGCTTTATATTATAAATGACTTACTTAATCCATAAAAACTCAGTAACGATAATAACAACAGAGGGTCACAATTATTGAAGGAGAATTAATTCTAGGGATTGTGCTAGATGTTTTACATTCACAGTTTCATTTATCACAATATCCCTATAAGCTAAGTACTATTACTGGCCCTATTTTATAGTTGAGGAAACTAAGGCTCAGGGAAGCTACCTGGGTCATGACAGCTGGTAAGTAGTAATGACAGACCTTAAACCCAGGTCAGAAAGGCAGAGAAAATGAAAAGTCTATTTTGAGGCTCAAGGAGGTTGCTAAGCAAGACAAGGACCCTGGTTACCCCAGCCAGTGGATACAAATCAAGTGCCACCTCGGTGAAGGGCAGAAGCAACAAGGTGGCACCATCATGAAGCAGCATAACACCAGATATGAGGCGACCCTGGCATCATGGGCAGATGGGTCTAATTACATGGCAGGATCAGACAGAAAGGGTCCAAGCCCTTGGGCCAAGGGAGTAGGGCACAGCTAAGCAGTCAAATGGTTGGTTCCTCAGAACAAACAGACCCTGGGACAGAAGGCAGGGACCACTCTCATTCATCTTTAGGTCCCCAAGAACCTGGCATGGAAAAGGTCTCAACACTTAAGTACTACAGAGTCATTAATTAAAAAAATATTAGGCACACTCACTATGTGCCACACTCTGTTCCTGGAGCAAGAAATACATCCAGAAACAAAACAGAAACCCCTATCCTCATAAGTTCATAGTCAAGGCCGGGCGCAGTGGCTCCCGCCTGTAATCCTAGCACTCTGGGAGCCAAGGCAGGCGGATGGCTCAAGGTCAGGAGTTCAAAACCAGCCTGAGCAAGAGCAAGACCCCATCTCTACTAAAAATAGAAAGAAATTAATTGGCCAACTAAACATATATAGAAATAATTAGCCGGGCATGGTGGCACATGCCTGTAGTCCCAGCTACTTGGGAGGCTGAGGCAGCAGGATTGCTTGAGCCCAGGAGTCTGAGGTTGCTGTGAGCTAGGCTGACACCATGGCACTCTATCCAGGTCAACAGAGTGAGACTCTGTCTCAAAAAACAAATAAAAAAAATAAAATAAAGCTCACACTCCAGTGGGCAGAGACGGACAATAAACATGAGAAACTACACAGGATGTGAAAAAGGGATAAGTGCCGAGGGAAAAAAAAATAGAGTTGGATAAGGGAAGTGGTGATAGTGGCTAGGTGTGGGGTGAAGGGAGGAAAGGAGGGTACAATGTATTAAAAAGGTGGTCAGCTGGACCGGGTGGCTCACACCTATAATCCCAGCACTTCTGGAGGCAGAAATGGGAAGACTGTTTGAGGCCAGGAGTTCAAGACCATCTTAGGCAACATAGCAGGACCTTGTTTCTACAAAAACTAAAAAAAAATTATCTGGGCATGTTGGTGCATGCCTATAGTCCTAGCTACTCAGGAGGCTGAGGCAGGAAGATCACTTGAGCCCAGGAGTTTGGGCTACAGTGAACTATGATCATGCCAGCCTAGGTGACAGAGGGAGACTCTGTCTATAAAAAAATAAATAAGTGAATAAATGAATAAATAAAATGGGTGGTCAGGGTGGGCCTCACTGAGAAGGTGAGATTTGAGCCAAGACTTGAAGGAGGTGGGAGGGAGCCATGCGACTATCTGGGAGGAATGTTGTAGGCCAAGAGAATAGCTGTGCCTGGAGCGCTAGAGGTTCACCTGGTGACAGTGAGGTGAGCCAAGGGAGGAGCAGTGGGAAAGGAGGCCAGGAGGGACTGAAGGGCCACATCACATAGGACAATGGACTCTGGCTTTGACTCTCAAGGAAACTGGGAACTACTGGAGAATTGTGAGCAGAGGAGTGACAACAGCTGACTTAAGTTCTCAAAAGGATTATTACTTTGGCTGCTCTATTAAGAAAATACTGTTGGGAGAGGTGAGAGGGATGGCAGTTGGGAGACCAGTTAGAAAACTATTGCAGTAATTTGGGTGAGAGATGATTCAGACAGGATGGTAGCTATAGGGGTGGTGACAAGAAATTAGATTCCATTTTTTTTTGGTATTTTTTTGACACAGGAGCTCACTCTCTTGCCTGCCTAGGCTGGAGTGCAGTACAACCTCAAACTCCTGGGCTCAAGTTTAACCTCCCATCTCGGCCTCCCAGCTAGCTGGGATTATAGGTGTGCACCCCCATGCCTCACTAATTAAAAAAAATTGTTTTCTTTTTTTGTAGGGACAGAATCTCACTATGTTGCCCAGGCTGGTCTTGAACTCCAGGCCTCATACAATCTTCCTGCCTCAGTCTCTCAAAGTGCTGGGATTACAGGTGTGAGCCACCATGTCCAGCCTTAGATTCCATATGTGTTTTGAAGGCAGAGGCTTGTGTGATGGAATAATAGGTGGTGTGGGAGAAGAGACAAGGATGAAGACTGACCTGAGCAACTGGAAGGATGGCGCTGTTATTAACTAAGCAGGGAAAGAACGTGCTTGAAATTGGTTTCGTTTGCAATGTCTGTATTAGATGTCCAAATAGAGACGCTGAGTAGGTAGCAGAGGGTTAGATAAAGCTGATGTTAGTGGCATTTAAACCAGGAAAAGAGGTCCAAGCCCCGGAAGGAGCAAAACAGATGGAAGAGGAACAGGCACGGAGACAGGAGAAATCCCGTGTGGTGTCTCAGAAGGGAAGACGGGGACTCCCAGAAGATGGCGTCAGCAACTCTGTCAGAAGCTGCTGCAGGTGGCAGGAAGATGAGTGCTGACTGCGGGAGCTGGCGCTGTGAGGGGCTCTGACGGTAGAGCTCGCAGGGAGCTAGAGCTTGCGAAAGCCTGCCTGGCTGGGGAGCGAGAGAGAACGGGAAGACAGGGGTTAGGAAGAGTGAAGAGACATTCCTTTGGGCACTTTTGCTGTGTCGGGAACACTGAGGTAAAGAGAGGTTTTTTTAAAAGATAAGAGAAACTTCAACATGAAATGAGCCAGTAGAGAGGGAAGAACTGATGATCCAAAGTGAAGAGGAAAAAAAGCTGGCGCAGTCATCTCAAGCTGAGAGAGGATGGACCGGGTGGAGGGCCAGTCCTAGTCAGAGGGCTGCGGAGGAACCGGGTAACCGCAGGAAAGCTGTCTATGTGGGAAGGGGAGACATGGTGCTGGGAATTTCAGGAAGTGCTGGTGACTTCCATTTTCTTAGTAAAATGGGAGGCAAAGTTAACCAGGTGAAAGACAGGATAGAGAAGAGGTGTTAGAGGTTTGGGGAGAGAGGAGAAGGTTGCTAGTCTTCCAGAGACTGGCAAGAGAGGATGGATCAGGTGACGGAAGAGGCTGCATGTATTAATATTCAAGGAACACAGTCTTAACAGAAGATACTATCCCTGTATCAGCAGAACAAACGCTTTCAAAGGAGTGAGAAGTTCAGCTGAGCCAGCCACAGCCTGTTTTAGTTTCCCATGTGACAATATATTACATAGCCACCAAAAAGCTTTTCTCTCTTTTTTTAAAGCTAATTATGGGCCAGGCAGTGGGCTCACTCCTCGTATCGCCTAGCACTCTGGGAGGCTGAGGGTTTTTCGATCGCATTTGAGCTTCAGGAGTTCGAGATCAGCCTGAGCAACGAGTGAGACGTCTCATAAACAAAATTAGGGCCAGGCATAGTGCGCATTGCCATGTATCCTAGCAACTCCAGGAGGCTGAGGCAGAAGATTGCTTAAGCCCAGGAGTTTGAGTTGCTGTGAGCTAGGCTGTGCCATCGGCCACTCACCCTCTACCTGGGCCCAACAGAGTGAGACTGTATTCTATCTTTCTAAAAAAGAAAGAAAAGAAAAAGAAATTAGCTGGACATCTAAAAATACATAGAAAAACATAGGCACGGACTGATGGCTGCATCGCCAATAGTCCCAGCTACTAGCGGAGGCTGAGGCAGAGAGGATTGGCTGAGGGCCTGAGGAGTTGAGGTTGCTATGAGCCAGGCTGAACGCGCACAGCACTCTAGCTGCCGACAACAGAGAGTGAGACTCCGTCCCCCCCCAAAAAATAGCGCCAGCGAGTGGCTGGCTCACGCCTGGTACTCCTAGCATTTGGGAGGCAGAGGCCAGCGAGGTCACCTCAGGTCAGCAGTTTGAACAAGCCAGCCCTGAGCAACTAGCGACGACCCGTCTCTGCTAAATAGAAAGAAACTTAGTGGGCCCAACTAAAATACTAATAGAAACAAATTGGGCCCAGACTGTGGCAACATGCCTGTAGTCCCAGCTACTCGGAGGCCCTGAGGGGCAGTAAGATAGCTGAGCCGGCCGCGGATTGAGTCTGTGCGCTAAGGATGACCCATGCCGCACTCCTAGCTCGGGCAACACGACGTGGGAGGGATGGAGGGAGGAGGGAGGACAGGAAGCGAAGGACGGAAGGCAGAAGAGGACGGGCGAGGCGAGGGAGAGAGAGAGAGAAGAGAGAGAGAGAAAGAGCAGACGCAACGAAAGAAAGAGAAAGAGAAAGATGAGAGAGAGAGAGAAGAGAGAAAGAAAGAGAGAGGAAAGAGAGAGAAAGAGAAAGAGAGAAACGAGACCAAGAAGAGAGAGCAAAAAACCAAGAAAGAAAGAAAGAAAGAGAGAGAGACACGAGACGAAAAGCAGAAAGAGAGAGAGAGCGAGAAAGAAAGAAGAAAGAAAGAAGAAAGAAAGAAAGAAAGAAAGGAAAAAGAAAGAAAGAAACAAAGAACCAGAAGAAAAAATAAACAACTAATATCTGGTGTCGGTGGCTCATGGCCTATAATCTAACCGAAGCTTGAAGGCCACAGGAGATGCCTGAGGGCAGGATCTCTAGACCCAGGCCATACAATACACGGCAAAATCCCTTGTGTCTACAAAAACTTAAAAAAAAAAATTACCAGTATGGCTGGCACATGCCTGTATCCAGGCTAGCTCAGAGGCGAGGCACGGAGAATCGGCTTGAGCCCAGGAGTTTTGAGGCTGCAGTGAGCTATGATTGTCGCCAGCTGCACTCCCAGTCCTCCGTGCAAGCAGAGGAGAACCTGGCACTTGAAGAAAAAAAAAGAAGCAATTAGGCGGCCTTTTTGCTGACTCTCTTCATTCTTATCAGCCTGGATTACTGAATCTCCTAGCTGATCCACTGCCTCTTAGCAGGAGGGGTCTCGCTATTGCTCAGGCTGGTTTCAAACTCCTGACCTTGAGGGATCCTCCTGCCTCGGCCTCCCAGAATGCTAGGATTACAGGCGTGAGCCACCACTCCTGGCCCTATTTTTTGGTGGGGGACAGAGTCTCACTCTGTTGTCGGAGCTAGAGTGCTGTGGCGTCAGCCTGGCTCATAGCAACCTCAAACTCTAGGCTAAGCAATCCTCTGCCTCAGCCTCCTAGTAGCTGGACTAGTTGGCATGCCACCATATTGCATCTCTCTCTCCC